ATTTAATTTGAGTAAATGACTATGATCTTGTAGTATGCATAATGGAGGACACATTGGCACTTTTTGTTAGTTTGCAGGTGAAAATTTTCATGAAAAAATAAAAAAATTAAAGATTTGTATTTTACCACCGAAGGACTCCCCTAGAAAAAAGCTATTTATTTGATATTTGATGATCATTCTGACATCTTTTCTTTTAGGATACTTTATGAAGAATATATTGAAAATATTTGAAAGTTTGAATGGTAAAATACTGGGTGAAAATAAATGAAAATAATTTATGAAATTCTTCATTTTCATATGCATGGGATTTGGACTCCCATTATATTTGCTGTTGTTTTTCCCATTTTTCCCAAAGCTGAATGAAAAATGGGAATTGATGATTTTAAATGAATAATAAATTTGCATTCTTGTACCCTTTAAAAAAAATCCATGCTGGAACTTCATACTAAGGGCCAGGACATAGTTGCCTTTTTAAGTAGAATGCTGACTGTACTTAAAGACATTTACCCTAATATTTGTGCTCTTTTGGCCATTGTGATGGTCCTTCCAGTCAGCACAACAGATGCAGCATATGTATTTCAGGGGCGGATCCAGAGATATTTCCTGACAGTCTTCCAAATTATCTTTGTTGATCCGTTCTTCATTTTTGACCGTCTTCCGACAGAAAAAATTAGATACCCGCCAATGTAAACTTGAAAATCTGACCGTCTTCCGGAAGACCCAGAAGACGCCCTAAATCCGCCCCTGTATTTGGTACTAATGGTCACATTAATGTTGACAAATATACCCAGTTGTTATAAAAAACACTATATATGGATGCCATATTAGTTTATTTCATAACAATAAACATTCATTTCTCAAAGATATGTTCTTTCCTTTATAATTCATCATCATATTAAAATAAACTAATTTAATATCAGGGAAACCGGTTTTCATGAATTTGTTGTCAGGGAAAGCTACTCTCTTGCAGGGAAAGTAATGTACAAAATCACTTCATTTCGACCCTTGGTTATAGGTTACTGCTATTGACTGATTTTGTGAACATGATTTCATTGAATTAAAAGCATGCTTGGCATTAATTGAATATGAATGAAATGTAGGGGAATTATTATTTTACAGACACATGTTTATTACATATATTTAGTCATAAAAAATTGGCTATCATTTGCCCAAAGCCAGTATGTGAACCAAATGTCCATTTGTAAATCATTTGGAGATTTATCTTTTACTTTCACCTTTCATGTATTTACAGAAGCAGCTATAACATAACTGTAGCAGATACGAAACAGCCCTTACTCTTGAGCCGTCCAAAGAAGAGAGACCAGAGGGATGGGGGTTCAGATATCATTGCCTTGATTCCAGAGCTTTGTTTCATGTCAGGGCTAACAGATGAAATTCGCTCAGACTTCAGAGTCATGAAAGTAGGTTTTTGCTTTTGGTATATTACTAAATAAAGATTAAGATGTTAGCACAAGAATATGATACTATTACATATCGTAATGACAAAAAAAAAAGTAAGTTTTTGTTTCATTATTGTGATAAGAAGTGATAACTTAGGAATTTTGGTAATGTTGGACAACAGATAAAATTGAGGGAATTGCTTTCTCTGCAGGACTTGGCGGTACATACCCGTGTATCTCCAGAGCAGCGACAGCTCAGTATGAAAAAATTCATAAACACTGTAAACAGTAATGCAGATGCTAGAAATGAATTGGAAAAGTGGGGTTTGTCCCTAGAGCCTTCAACCGTACCCGTAAGTCAAACATATGTGAAATAAAATCAAGACCCTCTTTCTACTCTTTATAAAAAGTTTTTTTTGGAAATTCATCAGGATTTTCTTTTCAACAACTTTTTATTTTAATATAGGTATGAAAGAATATCTAGATTCTGATATGTAAATTGTTTAATTTTTTCAAGCATAGAAAATAAACATGCTGGGGACAAGTTATATTTATTTTTCAGATTCAAGGGAGGCTTCTGCCTGAAGAAGATATTTATTTCAGGAATTCCAACCATAAAGCAGGTCGTGAAGCTGATTGGGGAAGACACATAAGTAGAGAAAACTGCATCTTAGGGGTATGCAATTTGTGTTTTATTTTTAAAATGGTGTGATTTTAACACTTAAATGTCACAAAACTTTGTTGATGCTAACAGTTAGACACTCAGATCCAGGAGGATTGTTGCTGGTTTACCAAACTTAGTCTAGGCTAACTCTAGCAAAACTTTACATTAGACAAGTAGCTGAAAAGATTTTGGTTAAATAGCTGCATAACATTAATTGCTAGGGTTTTTAAAGATAGCTTCAATTTTCTTTAACTTAAATCATTCTTGGCATTTGGTGAACATTCCATTTGACAGTGAGTCCAGCTGAATGTCTGTTTCATTAAAAACTTGCCTTTGATTTATGTTTTGTATGGAATTTATTCTACATTTTTCCTGCAGCAAATATGCTGGTATAAGGTTTTTAAAGACAGAGGGCTGTCAAGGGACCCTGTGTTAATGAACATGGGATTGTTCTTATATATATATATATTTATAACTTACAATTCTTGGCTTACAGTTATTTTTCCTATGAGAAACTTAGATGAATTTAAAATGATAAGAAATGTGGCTTTTTATATAGGTGGATTTGTACAACTGGATGGTCCTTTTCACAAACCGGGACAAAAATAGGGCCATGGATTTTGTGAGGATGGTCCAAAAAGAAGGTCCCAACATGGGTATAAATATCCAAAACCCTACCACACTGGAACTAAGAAATGACAGGACAGAGGCATATCTTGCCACAATTAGATCAAATCTCAATCCAGAGGTGAGACTTGCTATGTGAATGTGCTTTAAAATTATGGCAATGGTTTTATTAATGAAGGTTATAACTAACAGCATGTTGATTAATAAATTGATTAAATGGGCAAGGCATTTTGAATGATGTGACTCTATGTGCATTGTTTTAACTACAGGTAATTGTCTGCAGATTCAGTCTGTACAATTTATGTTTGCATGGATTAGTAATGTTTTGAGGAGTGGAAATCTGTTTTATAAATAGTCAAAGAAAAAATGTTAAGATAAATATAATTATTAGACACAACATGTTACTTTGAAAAGAACCTCATCAGTAGTGACTTAATGCACAGGGTTTTACTATTATTATTATACCACCAGCATGGCGCTGGTGGTACACATGCTTTTAGTCCCGACCAGTATCATTCGCCGCCACATCACCGTTACCATTTCTCTTCCTGAACTACAAGAGCCCCAGTATCTCTTGTATGTAGGTCACATATAATCTCAACTTGATCCATGTGAATTTTGGGCTTTGTCGGTTCAGTTTTTCCCATATGCTAAAAACAGCTGGAAGAGTGAACTCTCTATAATTGCATCTTACTTGTAGATTAATATAATAGTTAACAGTTTTATGTGAAAGAGCAGTTTCCTTCCAATTATAGTTAATAACAGCCAGAATAAAACATGAAGGAAGAAGAAATTGTTGGGGATAACCTAGAAAGGAATGTTATTATACCACTGTTCCAGCTATATTTCTGAGTTCAAATGACTTAGAAGTATTATGAGAGGAATAACTGAGTCTTAAAAATAAAGTCAAAATTCTCATATAACATGAAGACAGCAGATAGACAACTTGGTTTTTTGCAACATTCCTATCACAACAGGTGTGAAAATGAATAATTATCATGTAAGCATAACCAGGAATGGGGCCCACTTGCCCCCTTAAATTGTGAATGTCATAATCTAATCTAACTGTGACCTTGTAGCTGACCTTTGACCTAATTTTAACCATGAACTTTGCAAATGAACTTTCTGTCCCTTATATCTCCAAAACTGGCAGAGATATGCCCATAGATACTACTGAACTTGAATAGGAACTTGTATATTGACAGTCTCCCTGTGACCTTGGATTTGATCTTAGACCTACTTTTTGCTATGGACCGCACTTTACAAATTTGGATTTGACTTTTTATTTTTCCCCATGATTTTGTTATAAATTGTTATTTTCAACAACAACCAAAAATAAAATGAGAACTCTTGTTTACCACATTTTGTCGAGCTTGTCAAGCACAACACTGGAGGTGGTGCCCCTTTTTTTCTTTGTTTTCCATACGAATGTGCTCACTCCAGCTCGTGGTACAATACCCGGAGGTGGTATTGCTTCTGCTCCTCTAGTTGTTGTTGTTGTTGTTATTAGGATTCCCCATAGGGGAAAACTATTGTTTTTGCTGTTCTTATTATTCTTCTTCTTATTATTATTATTATTATTTTTCGTCAAAAAATTTCTTTCTAAAATTCTGAAAAAATTCATACTGATAGCCTATGAAAAGTTATTCCGGTCCACCCAATTTAATTGATCTTGACCTAATTTTCAAGGTCACAGAGCCTTTTCAATTGAAAATTTGGCAAATTTCAAAATGCAATATCTCCTAGAATTTTCAACATTTTGACAAATCCTTTCATAGGTGAGGTCACACAATGATTCTATATCATGTGACCAAATTTTAGGAAAGTAGGTCAGGTCAAGGTCAAAATTATTGCACGATATGCTCCAAATGGTTGACGTTCGGCAGGGGGTAAACCAGATGTCACAGAGCCACAAGGATGATGTAGAAAGTTGCCCTGGAGATCTATCCAGTGCAGTCGCTAATAATATTGACAATTGACCTATAAGTTTTTTTAATATAAATTTTTAAATATTAATTATTTCACAGAAATAGTGACTTTGTCAATTTCTCCATGAAATCCTGATTTTTTGTGTTAACATGCTATAGTAAACTACCCCAAACATATACCCAACACCCCCAAATCAAATGTCAAATTTGACCTTGACCTTCAATTTCAAGGTCATTTGGACATTTTTCTTTCCGCACATTTTTTTCTGCAAAAAAATTGAAATAATTATCATTGGTAGCTTATCGCCAGAAAATGCTATACACCCAATAATAGTGACCTTGACTCACTTTTCAAGGTCACAGGGGCATTAAAAAACAAAATTTGTAAAATTTGAAATTGCAATTATGCCTAAAGTATAAGCCATATGGCTAAGGGCCTTATGGGCAATAATACTGATGTAAATCCCCAGATATTGACCTACCTTTATGTAAGTAGGTCAAGGTTAAGGTCACTAATGACGAATCTGCCTTTAAACAGATTTCTTTCCCATATCTCAAAAACCGGGATGCCTACAGCCTCAATCTTAGATTCAAATAATGCCTTATAGTGTTATCTAAAGTTAACTGAACGTTTGTAGCAATTGCATATGCTG